TCTGATCTGGAGGACAGAGGCTGGTGAGGATGTCTGATCCAAACCTTTCATTTTACTATAAAAAAAATAATCCAAGGCTTGGAATAGTTATATAGTAAATAGATGAACTCCAGGTCTCACACCCACCCTGTGGGGTGATGTAATGTTTTTCACAGTTCTAACTTTTCCAAACCCGGGATTATAGGACTTTAGCATCAGAAGGTTACTCGGAGGCTTTAGTTCACCCCTCAGTTAGCAGATGACTGGGCAAAGCCCAGAGTGTTGAAGGAACTGCCCAACACGATAATTCTCTGCTAAAGAATATTAGGATATGCTAGAAACTAGTCTCTTTAGGATGAAACCACCCGCTTATTTGTTATTATTTTTATTTTTTAATAATATTAGTTTTAAAAAATCTGATTACAAAGGTAATAATTTGAGAAACAAAGAAAAACACAAAGAAAATCTAAGTTACCTATAATCTTCACCCCCAGATAACCACTGAAAACCTTTTTCTGATTGTAATTACGATTAATTTTTAGTGGTATCATATTTGGACATCCTTTCATAACTTGCTTTCTAAACTTAATAGATTGTGACTTTTTTTTTGACTTGTTCCCTACTCTGTTGCAAGATCATAAGTTATCCACTTAAAAAATTTCATTTTATGGCCCATAACAGGGAGAAGCTTTCAAAAGAAGTACAAGGCTTCCTAAAGGAAACTTGGCTGCATTTGAAATGAATGTTTATCACAAATAATTTTTAAACTTGTTCTATTGTCTCCGGGTCATGATGCTTTATGTTAATGAGCAGGAGAACACAGGGGTTATCTGTTAGGCAGCTCCCTGTGTGTCTGAAAGGAGACCCTGTAGTTTCAGAACGTGCTGACCGGCTGTGGCTGGTTTCTCTGGTATGGTTATGGTGCTGAAAGAGAAAATCTATTAGATTTTTTTTTCCACATTAGTTTCAACAGTAGCAAAGAAATCTTGGAGCGGGTTGGGGACCGCCTACAGCAACTGGGACATATGCCTTTTGGTGATGTCTGAAACCCTAGCGACTGCATGTTGTGGAAATAAAAAAGCAGCCGCTTGTTGGGAAAGAAAGAGGCTGAGACAATGGGAGCAGCATCGGAGCTGTGGGAAGGTGGGCACCAGCCTCTCGTGAGGGCACTCGCTGTGGCTTTCCATGGATCCGACCAGCCTCCTGACCAAATGCTTGGTGGATACCAGTGAGAAGGGAGGGGACAGTCCTCCCAGAGGCCACATTAGCTCTGTAGAGTAGCAGACATCTGGTGGCGTTGGCAAGGAGAGGTCATGAGAAGAGTCTGAAGGGCATTTGAGAGGATACAGAACATGAAGAGAAAGAACCAAGGGTCCCAAATTCTAGAGTCCCAAAGTTAATAACTAAGAGCTGGCTAGAATGAAAATTTGCAGTAGGAACCAAGGATGTGGACCTGGAGCAAAATAAATATATGTGATATTTGAGCGTGAATATACACATTTCAGTGGTTGACAAAGAGATGGCATTGAATCTGTGAGAACAGGCAAGATCCATGAGAGCTCTGATGGGAGAGAGGAGGCAGGAGTGTCCAGGTCCGGTTATGGAGCCACACATTTGCAGACAATTCAATGTTGGGGCTGAAACAGAGTCAGAGCCGGAGGGCCTGGGACTCCTGGGGACCAATCCCACTGTGCTGCTTGTAAGCTGTGTGACCCCAGGCAAGCTCTTCAACCTCTCTGAGCCTTGGTTTCTCCATTTGCAAAATGGGGATAATAATGTCACCTGCCTTGTTGGGCTGTTGTGAGAATTAATGAGTTGACATATATAAACTATGACATACATAAATAGGAACACACATAAATGGTAACGGTGCCTGATAATGTAAACATATCTGTGTTTGCTTTTATTACTAATATTCATTTGAAAAGAAGGAGAGAAGAAAGGAAGGTAAGAAAAGAGAAAATGTGTAATATATTAAGAAAATACATTATAATGTAGCAGTGTGTTTATTGTATTTATGTGGATTAGCATTTATATAGCTATGAATACGTGATAAATAAGACTAAAAGAATGAAGGAGCAAGTAGAAATATTAATTTAAAGGAGACCAGATATAGGTCCTTATGAAAGTGAGCCTTTGAGATATGAATTTCCCTTCATTAGTGAGAACATTTGCTGAAACATTTTATCATCCCCCTAATTATTCTGTCTGTGTATCTCCACCACTGCCTACCTACCTCCAACATTGTGCACGCCATTATCACACTTTCCCCCTCAATGTACATGGCAGTCTGACCTTCCTAATGAGGAGCTGATAATGGGCCCCTCAGCATCCTAGAAATCTAGCCGAGTGTTTGACACATACAGCCACCCAACAAATCACTTCTTTATGGAGAAAAAGACATTGGTTACAACTTGTAAGAGCATCCCTTCCTCAGGTACGCCCTCCCTTCTGGGAGCACATCCTACCTCCCAGGCAGCCCTTAGAGCACTCTTTCCATGGAGGAAGGTGGGCACCTTCCTTCTTAGCTTCAGGAGAGCTTGTGGGAGATTCCCCTTCTCCCGAGACCCCAGACCTGACTGGTAGCTGGCCCTGCCTCCATTTAAATGAGAAGGAGGCCAGGAAAGCTTATATCATAGGCCCTGCCTCAGACCTGCCAGGAAAACAGTCAAATCAGGTCCCTAAAGAGGTGCACAACGGGGATGAACAGGAGAAACATCTTTAGTGACAATGGTATAAAACTTTACTAGCTCATGTTGAGACTGTCCCTATGGCTGGTTGTTTCTGTCCCTCCCCTCAAGTCATCTGTGAAAGCCTTAATCCCCCAATGTGATGGTATTTGGAGATAGGACCTTTGGGAAGTAACTCGGTGTGGATGAGGTCATGAGGGCTTCTAACGACACTAACCCCATTCATGAAGTTAGTGAGGAGGCACTGGAGCTCTATCTCCATTATGTGAGGACACAGTGAGAAGACAACTGCCTATAAGCTATGAAGAGAGTTCTCCCCCAAACCTCTGA